TTGGTTCCCCCTAGAACCAAATACTGAGTTTGGCCTTTGATTTCTGTATCACCATGGTTCCAAGAAATCTTATGTTTAGCATAATCATGGACCCATGGGTTTCCATACCTGTTTCCAGCCAGCAATCTTTGAAATTCTCATCTTTCTATTTTGTCCTCTAGTAGCTTCAAAGTGGAACCCTAATTTTTATCCCCACTAAGCACTTCATTCTTTGTGGCCACAGGCAGTGATATAATTAGTTCTCACAAGTTACCAAATTCCCATTAGATGCTATTGATGGCTGTAATCCTAACTTAAGTATCTTGTCATCTGTGTTGCATGATCAAGACTGAAGGACCTCTGTGCAGCACCAGATATGCCAAAGCTGGGTCAGGGGCTTATACACTGACTGCCAAGTAATGAAGGACAATAGGAACTGGTTCCTACAGTGGGAAATCAGAGTATCTCCCAAACCAGGAAGGCCGACTGGATGAAGCACCTCTCCAGAAGACATTTGTTTGATGACTATCATTATGGTCTGTTTCTCTGTCTCTTTTAAAAATATTTTGTTATTTTATAGGACACCAGAGGAAGAGATTAATTTTGCTATTTTATAGGACAGCAGAGGAAGAGACTAGTTCCTAGGATCAACAGTTAATCTGTCAATTCTTATTTTTTTTAAAATATTGAGAAATTGAAACTAAAAATATAAAGAAAAATACCCATATTTCTATATGACTCAAATACTGTTAATTTCTTAATGTGTTTACTTTCTATCCTAATTGTCTTTTTCTTTTTTTTTAAATGGAGCTATTTGTGTGAGGAGGCAAAAAGCAAAAATTATACATGCTCAAATGCTACCTGATCCCCTCATCAAGGTGAATGACACTATCCAGATTGATTTGGATACTGGCAAGATTATCGATTTTATCAAGATTGACACTGGTAACATGTACATGGTGACTGGAGGTGCCAACTTGGGAAGGATTTGTGTGATCCCAACAGGGAGACACATCCTGGTTCTTTTGATGTGGTGCACGAGAAAGATGCCAATGGCAAAAGCTTTGCCAGCTGCCTCTCTAACATTTTTGTTACTGGATGAGGCAACAAACCATAGATTTTTCTTTCCTGGGGAAAAGGAATATGCCTCCCCATTGCTGAAGAAAGAGACAAGAGGCTAGCAGCTAAGCAGAGCAGGGGGGCGAAATGGTCTCTCGGTGACAGGAGGGAAGCATAATGACAAGTTTAAAAATAAGAAAAACATTACCTTATAGAATATGTGAGATGATGAACTGTTGCAAAGAAAACACAGCAGGAATTTGGTATTGGGAACGTCAGGGTAGACAGATATTTAACAGAGGATGATCATAAAAGTCATTTTTTTCCTGGAAAAGGGATATTTGAAAATATCTCCTCAAATATAGGAGAGAAGCAAAGTAAAATCAACCCAAATCACACTACTTCACAAATAGCATAAGCATTAGGTAAAAGTTGTTCCAGGTATCTGCATGCATACAGATTTTTATATGATTATGGACAAATGGATAGATGATGGATGGGCATAAAGATGTGGCTAAGAGAAGTAATGTTTATTTTCTGTATGTCTCTTTTTATGATAGTTTAACATATCTAATAGTCTTTAAAATTTTTTAAAATATTTTTCACTATTACATGTAGTACATAATGATCACATTCTTCTTGGGGAGTTAGCACATGTACATAAGTCATCTTAATTTTTTTATTCCATTTTCCCATTCTCCTTCCCCCCTCTAGCTCTTGGTCCTCTTCCCATTTGCAAAAGATCTTAGTGTTTTCTGTGTCTTTGCTCTTTATTTACTTTGCTTCTTGTGTAAGAGAAGTTTAAAAGTATTAAAGCTTGTATGTCTAATATAATTCGCTTACATTATATCTAGGTGCATCTATTTGCATTCAAATGATTCAGTTTTACTCTTCTTTGTGGAGTAACCCATTGTGTAAAACATTACATTTTTTCTAAAAACATGGATGTGCATGTGTCACTGTAATATAATGTCTCTTTTGGGAAGATAATCTAGAAGAGGCAAAACTGGGTCAAATGAAATTTCTAGTTTAACTTTTTTGAGGACTCTCCATTCTGATTTTCATAATGGCTGTGCTACTTTACACTCCCATCAACAATGTAGAAGACTTCCCAACACCAGCATTTTTTAATCTAGTGTCTTGATGACAGTCATTCTTTCTGGAGAAGATAGAAACTTAAAATGTCATTTCACTTTGTATTTCTCTACTAGCTAGAGATGTTGAGCTTATCTTCATATACTCATTGGCCATGTGTATTTTTTCTGAGAAATGCATGTTCATCTTAGTTGCCCTTTATTGGACTGCATCTTTTATTTTGGCTTTTAGTTCTTTATATGCGCTACATAAAGTCCTCTGAGCAGCCAGCAGAATTTTTTCCCATTCTGTAGATTGTCTCTTCATTCTGTTAGCTGTTTCCTTTCCTATGCAGGTTTTTAATTTGATACAATCCCATTTCATTGATTCCTGGTATATATTTCTTGTACACTTGGGGTTCTGTTCAGGTTCTTGCCTGCTGGGAAGATAGCTCAGTAGCATCAGTGCCTACCTGGGAAGCACAAGGTCCTGGGTTTGATCCCTGGCACGTGTGCACGCACACACACACAAAATTGCCTGAGCTTGTTTTTTTATTTTTCTGAGCCTGTTTTTAAGAGTTTTACCTATTTTATCTACTAGCAGATTGTTTCGTTTTCATACTTGGATCTGTGATCCACTTTGATGTTACTTTAGCACACAGTGAGGGACATGGGTCTGGATTCAATCTTCTGCATGTGGATAACCAATTTTTCCAGCACCATTTGATGAAGGAGCTACCTTTCCCCTGGAATAAGGTTTTGGCCCCTTTGTCAAATATCTAGAAGCTAAATTACCTGGATTTGTTTGTGAATCCCCTATTCTGAGCCACTGATCCATCTTTTTTTTTTTTTTTAAACTAGTATCATGCTGTTTTATTTTTCTACCATATCTTTGTAGTATAATCTGGTCTGTGACTGTGATGCCTCCTGCCTTGTACTTATCTCCCAGAACTGCTTTTGCTACTCTATGTCTCTTTATGTCCCACGTGAATTTTAGAATTCTTTTCTCTAGTTCCGTGAGGAAAGCTACTGGTATTTTGATTGGGACTGCAATAAATGTGTCTTGAAGTATGGCCATTTTCACTGTATCATTTCTGCCTGGCCAGGAATAGAAGTTTCTTTCATTTTTCTTATGTCCTTTTAGAGCTCACCTTTCACAGTACTATAATTTAATTCTTAAGTTTTTACATTTTTCATGCTGTTATGAAAGGTATTATTTCCCTAATTTATGAATGAATTCATAATTGTTGCTAAGAAACGCATACAATCTAAATGTTACAAATCAATGAACATGTTGAAATTTAACAGCAGCATCTTTGCAGCAATCAGGCACTAAAGAATTCTAAGGTATGTTGAGGACAGCTACGGTTGGTTCTAGAAAACAGGACATACAGGTAGATCTTAATGGAAACAGTGTTTGGACTAGAGGAAAGAAAGGACACTGTATTAGAGGATTCATATGAAAGGATGGAGATAGGAAATACATGTGCCACCTGAGAGCTCAGGAACTTGGGATCAAATCATTGTCAGCACTCGGCATGTCCAGTATGCCTATTTCCTTTATGAAAGTGATCTGTTTGCTTAGAAAGTATTTACCCAAAATAAAAAGAATCAAAATGTATTAATAGATTGTGTGTGTGTGTGTGTGTGTGTGTGTGTGTGTGTGTGTCCGGCTCAGCCCAATCGGGGACCAGGCTTGCACGGCATGTGGTACCTGGGATCAAACTATGGTCCCTGCACCCTTGCTGAAGCAGGTGCTTTAGACTGCTCAGCTATCTCATCACTCCATATTAATAGATTTTGAGAAATAGGAAGAAAATGTTCAGATGGGAAAGGGAACAAAGGAGGGTTGAGGGGAGTAAAAGAACAGAAAAAAATTGGAAGCAAAGCTTTTGTAAATAAGAAGATAGGTTGAAGGGAAGGGAGAGGATTGGGGAAAAAAGAATTAAGATATAATATATGCAGGTACAAATTCCCTATGATGGATGTGATCATTATGTGCATCTCAAATGTACCAAAACAAAAATTAATTTTTAAAAACGATCTCTACTCCAAACTCTATAATGGTTAAGAGCCAGAGAAAGCATATACATTCAGGCTCCTCTAAGTTTGTGTTCATATAAAACATGTGGAAATGGCCTATTAAGCAGACCCTACCATTTTATTATTTTAAAAAATCACTTATTTGGTACAGGGTCTCACTAGCAGCTCAGACTCACAGTGATCCTCCTGTCTCAGCCTCCTGTGCTGGGATTATAGGTATGTGTCACCATGCCCAGTTTCAGTGGCTGGCATGGCATGTGGTACCAGGAATTGAACCTGGGTCCTTGCACTTACCAGGCAGGTGTTTAGACTGCCGAACTCTCTCTCCAGGCCCTACTCTACTGTAAGTTTGAAGTTATTAGGCAGCATAAGTAATTTTACATAGAAATTTACAAAGCGAAGCTACAACTACAAGTGATACGGATAGTGAGTGACACACAGCTCTGAGGGCACATGTGAAGAAGTGTGATAAAGTATACACTTAAGACTGATACTATACTTATACACTATTTGGTCATGTATTAAATAACAAGAGTATTTCCTCAAATTCTGAATTCACAAAAACTCTGGCTTTCAATTATATATAATTTCATTCTCCTAAATTATAATACTGCATAATATAGTTCTGAGCCTGATAAACAGATAAGACATATAAATTATCTTATCCATACATAATTCAGCATTGGTCTGCCAAGTTAATTTCCAAGTCTCTCACAAAAAGCTACTTAAAAACAGAATTTTCATGCGCATACTCTCATTTTAAATTGTAAAATTTAAATCTTTGTAATCATTTTAGATAAGCTCTCCTAAACAGAAGACCCCAAATAAAGAAGCATACACAGAATGTAGCCAGTAGTAGGTTATGCCAATTTACTTCACATATATTTCAAGCCTGTGATTTCTATTTATTACCAGCAAAAACAATCTGTACAGAAAATCCAAAGGCAATCGCACAGCATAAAATGTAAAATGTGCAAATACACTTTAAAATGCGAGTTACTGGATACCATTTGTGTTACTGGATACATCTGCAAGGTAAAACTTTATGGTAAGTAAGGACTCCACTCATTCTAGATAACTTAATCTTCTGCATGTTCAGCCAATGCAAATGTACAAGGCACAATTTAGTGTTGATGCTCTGATGTGTCATACATCCTCAGATTATTTATTTGAAGAAGTTAAAATAACAATGTCCATGTTTATATTTTATTGTTTAATGAGACATCAGTTGATTTCTAAAGCTTCATAAAGTATTACATTTATAACATATACATGATCATATATGTAAATTTCCCTGAACTTAAATGGAGAAAGCAAAGATCCTTGCTATCCTATATAAAAAACTAACCCACATGACACATAGGAAACTTTCCATAATCCAAAGGGACGCCAAGTTCTTATTAGCAAAGGTTCCCGTTACAGTATTTCATGATAGTTATTTTAAAAATTCATACTTATGTACCACCTGTTTTGGCCAATCTTTACAAAACAACATTGAAATAGACAATTTTTTTCTTCAAGGTAAGGACAATGCCTAATATAGAAAGTCTTTCTTTTGACAATGCACAGTGGAAGGTTTACTCAGTTAAATATGAAAGTTTGTTGCCTTTAAAGAAATTACTACACAGGAAAAAAAAAAAACAAAAAACTGTTAAAAATCAGTAAGAGCACTGATTATAAAACAATTCAAATACTTTCTAAACCAATCACAGCAGTGCTCTTTGTTTTATTGCCCATCCCTGAGTACAGATTCTATCATTTATAATTTAATAAAGTAAACTGTACATTAAGAATGTTTAAAATTTTTTTCGAAATATAAAGCCCTATTTCATTTTAGTTAAAAAAAAAAGATAAAAGATAAAAAACTGTAAAGACTACCACTCATAAAAACTAAGAATTTGTAGGTCAATATTTAATACTTTTTACTGGGTAATTTCTAATTTTTATGCTGTTCACATATTGCTCATTTTCTTATTACCCATTATTTTATAATTTTTGTTATTGGGAGCATTTAACAGGTGACAGAGGAAAAGTACAGCATGAAACTTAAAGGAACTCTGGAAAGAGATGTATTCTTCTCTGTGGTAAGAGCTTACTGGAAATGATGTGAATGCCATCCAAGAAAGGTAGAAATGTCTATGAAAGAATACATATAGTAAATATCTTCCTTGCTGTCTTTGGTTTAGCCTTCTTGGCCAAAATCTTCTGTAAACTTCTTTAATTTCAGTAAGTCGTGTTCATTGACTGTGGGCTTTGTGTTAGATAGTGATCGCAACATATCCGACTGTCAGGGAAAAGGAGGGAAGGGGTATTAAAAATGGATTTCATAAAATGTAAATCACTGCACTGTTATCATTCCTGTTCATCATTTTAACCCAAATGCATACAAACATATGCAGTGTACCATACAATCCCTGCTGACAATCCCTTTTTCTAAAGCATTTCATTGATCATGTATTTACTGTAGCAACTTACAATTTCTTTTTCACTCTCCAACTAACCCTTCCAAGAGCTGCTCATTACCTACTAGAAGTGCAATCATGTTAACCTGAAGATAAAGGCCCTCCTCAGTCTGGTTATGGTCTAATCTCTGGCGTTTAGTTGTTTTCCTTAAACAAAGAGATCATCAGTCTTTCCAACTAAGTACAATTCTAAAGGAGCAATTTTATTACAGAAAATAATTTCACTACAAAGCCTTATGGAAATTTATAAATTGAAGCTAAATATTTTGAAAACCAAGTACTTATAAATAAGAAAATAGGGCCAGCTAGATTGGTCAGTGGACTGAAGTGCCTGCTTAGGCAGAGCTGGGGTTGGGTCCCCGCTATGTTGTGCTGGCCCTGACCCCAGGGTGTGCTGAAACAGCAATTAAGACCAGGCACAGTGGCGTGGGCCCATAATCCTAGCTCTTGGGAGGCTGAATATAGGCAGATCCCTACGAGTCCAATCTATGTAGTGAGACCTTGTAGACCCCGTACTAAATACAAAAAAACTCAAAACAAAAAGAAAATATAACAACTTTTCAGTTACCCTTAATTCTCTAAAAATAACATGGCCTCAAAATGAACTACACTCCCTACCCCCCAAAAAAGACTCTTTCAGACAGGTCTCACTCAGTTACCGAGGCTGGATTCGTACTTCTGATCCCCCTGCTTCAGTCTCGCTGAGCACTAGCATATCAGGGAAATGTCAACACAGCAGACTACAGAGAAGGACTTCTGAATAACTTCTCAGATAAAGACCACAGTTAACAATGAAGATATGTATATCTGCACTTTTAAATATACCCGTTTACGTACAAGTACACATCTATGTATATACATAAATTTCTTCTCTGAAAGCTCTTGTTAATCTACCATAAAACCGAAAATCTGCAGCTGAAGGGGAAAATTTTAAAAACTTCAATTTTAATCATGAAGAAAAAAAAAAAAATTTGGATCTCCCTAAGTTCTCTTAAAAAAATACTTTCTAAACAATAAAATCCTACAAATTATTTTAACACCTTCATTATAAACTACACAAATGTGTTTTCTAATAAAAATTCTGCTTAAATTCAGGTAAGCAGTTTTTAAAAAGTTAAAAATTTTCAACCAAAAATTTTAAAGACTTGTATTATTTAAACTTCTTACGAAGTCTTAAGTTAAATGGGAAAATACCATTTATGAATACCATGACACCAGGATTAACATTTATGACTATTTCTAAAAATGCAAAATTTAGGGGAATTTTTTTTACTAACCCTATATTTTAGTTAAGTTCTCATAATAAGTTGTAAGTAAAAGTATTTTGGGAGATGACAGTCCAGCTATACAACCTACAAAGTCAACAAAACATGGTCGTGCATACCTGTAATCCTCATACTCTGGGAAGCAGAGGCAGGATGATCACAATTTCAAGCCTAGCGTGAGCAACTTAGCAAGATTTTCTCATAGTAAAAATCTTTTAAAAAGGTCTGGATATAACTCAGTGTTAAAGCCCTGGATTCTTACCCTAGTATCCCAAAATAAATTTGAGAAATAACAGTAAGTAGCCTTAAAGTTTCACAGCCCTAGAAAATGTTTTAAAAATAATTATTTTTATATTTTAAATTCAACTAATCTTTATAATTTTTAATGTATGTGGGAAATAGTCAATAAGCATTCCTGATCATACTAATATTTTCCAGCATCTCAACACAGCAACGACAAACCTTTTAAAGCTTTCCATAACAAATAACTGGCTGTGGGAACACATGCTACAGGTTCACCACCACTGTATTAATGTAACTAAAAAATTTTATCTTTAACCAACAAATCATGAAGTGCAATATCTTAAAGTACTTCTTAAAAGAAAAATTCAAACCATGGAAACAACTGGCTCCAAAAGTTTATCTCCAGGGACATCCATCCATGTCATTTCAATGGCACCAGCATCTCCCGGAGAGCACGGTGTTAGCAGATCATCTACAATTTTGTTGGGGTCATCTCGGGAAGGTCCACAAACCTATAGTAAGTAACAGTTTAAAATATTTATTGAACAAATTAAATAAACATTAAAATTTAGGCTATTTTCAAGGAACCTAAAAGTGTATGTTTTGTGTTAAAAATTTTTATGTTGGGCCGGGGAGATGGCTCAGTGGTATAAGCGCTTCCCTGGCAAGCACGAGGGCCTGAGTTCAATCCCCAGGTCTGCCAAAAAAAAAAAAAAAAAAAATTTATGTCTAAAAAATATACAACCAAAATAGTTATTTTTGGGATATAGGAGATGTTTTTTCCTTGATACTTTTCTCTATTGTGAAATTTTCTATAATACTTATTCATATATGGAGGGAAATGAGTTTTAAAAAAGAATAATATTTATATGTGAGTATATTTTTCCTTTAATGTATGAATGGACATAATCTTACAGATCAAAAACAGACATTTAAACTTTGATCTCAGAATCAGAGCAGGTATGAAACACACAGGGATGCAGCTCAGAGGTACAGTATCCACCTGGCAAGTGTGAGGCCCTGGGTTCAATTCTCAGTACCCAACACCCTCCCTTCAAAAGTTAATAGCCTCAGTTTAACTTACTATGTATGATGTGCATTTTTTTTTGGGGGGGGGGTCTTTCTTCTCCAAAATTTCAATGGCACAGATCAGCGATTTGAGTTTTTGACTGTTATACGTTCTGATCTACCAGTGGGTTTAGAGTAGTAACTTCAATAAATTAAATAGACAAATACGTACTTGCTAACTGAAATAGTTAGCCTTAGAAATAGAAAAGGAGGGGCCCATGGAGATGTTTGCTATCACTGTTGATCGAAAACCCTACTGCTAAATATTTTTCTCAGTAAAGAAATGCCTGAAGGGCAGAGAAGTAATAACCAGGTACCAGGATTAGTGTAATGAATATTATCTCATTTCATTCTTATACCAGCACTTGAAGTAGCATTACTTCCATTTTAGATTGAAAAGGGTTGAAGATAGGTAATGATTTGCTCAACAAATATGGTAGGCAGGCTGGCGAGATAGCTCAGCAGACCAAAGTGCCTGCTTAGGCAAGCTTGGGCATGCACAGGAACCACTCCCCAGTGCCACATGCCAGACCCTCCCCCATGACCAGCTGAGTAGGCTACAAAAAAAAAGAAAAAAAGAAAAAAAGAAAGAAATATGGTAGGTAAATTGAGGTGCCTAGTTTCCTAAATTTGGAAGGTTTAGTTCAAGCTCCTTTTTCAGAATGCTTACTGTATTATGATATATACAACTAAGGGTATCTTAGTTGTGACATATTGGTCTTGCCATATACTGTGAGATTAAGTTTCTAATAGTTTACCGAGAATTTATACATTAATACTTTAAGTAATATTGGATACTGCTATCTTCAATACATCAGGAATGCTGATGCACTGTTATTGGGGAAGTTATAGTATTTTATAACATCTCTGCTATATACTGTACCACTATATGCTCAACTCAGTAGGCCAAACACTGTACAGGAAAGGCAGGAGGACAGCAGAATGGTTGCACTTTCAGATTTTTAAAATACACCTAAGGAAAAAAGACCTACTTAAGACAAAATACTTCAACAAACCTACTGACATCAGTCCCATATTAACTAATAACAGGTGGCTAGCAATATGGACCTCTTGTTTTTGTGAAGATTAAATGAAATAGTAAGATGTAGGATAGAGCACAGAGCCAGACAATGCAAATATTTAAAAGATACTATCCAGTATTATTTTTACTTTGTTCATGATTCTGTTTGTGTTTTTAGCTGCATCAGAAGCACCTTATAACTACACTTATACCAAAATACTTCACAGAACTATTTAAAATGTTAGGATTACAAATAGCAGGCAGTAATAAATGAACTTTACAGAACTAATTTTCAATGAAACAGAAATACACCTATTACATAAACTCACATATTGTACTACCAAACAACACTGAAATCCTTACAAATTCACTGAAGACAAACCAATGACAGTCTTGAAACTTTATTTTAAAAAGATCTAAAAATAAATAAAAACAGATAAAAAAGACATGAAACTCACCCTTTTGAAGTGAGTAGCTGACTGTACTTTTCTAACAGGCTGCATAAGTGCATCACGAACAATGATACTTATATCTGCTCCTGAATAGCCATCAGTTTTCTTCCCAAGTTCTCGGAAGTCTGCTTCTGTAAGGCTGTTCTGAGTGGTTCCCAAGTGCAACTTAAACATTGCTGCTCGGGCATGGGGTTCAGGCAAAGGAATGTAGATTCGTTTCTCAAATCTTCCAAGACAAGAAGTTATATCAGGGATATTAAAATAGGTATTTAATTTTAATTGAAAATTAGGGTATTTTCAAGAAGAAAATAGAAGACTGATATATTACCTATAAAATTGTATATGAGGGGGGCTTCAATGAAATATAAGATTATATCTACAAATTTTAGAAGCATCAAATTCTGCTATGCTTAATCAAAATGAAAGGTCAGCATAAGGCAATATATTTTGTAATGTGAAGGAGTCCAGTAAAGAAATCTTGTCTTCAATAAACCAGGCAAACAAACAAGCAAATGGCCATCTCTCTTCCCTTAAGTCATGGTCAGGGCACACTAAAAAATTTATGAAAACTTATCAGAATGCCTCCTCACCAGAAGGAGAATTTCCATTTACTTGCTACATAGGTAGTTAAAAGTAAGGTATTTACTATATCATCATACCTCCGCCTAATGGCAGAATCCAGAACCCAGGGTATGTTTGTAGCTCCCAGAACCAAAATTCCATCATTGTCCACACCAACCCCTGTGGGAAAATAAATAATATTTAAAATAATTTCATTTGTCATTTAAAAATCTTGTATGTTCTTTTGAAAACTTGTAGTGCAGCTTTAACATTAAATCGTCTCATCTTCAGGGTCTCTGAAAAGTGTGATACTAGGGATTCAACCCAAGTCTTTGCACTGAGTTGTATATCAAGCCCTTTTTTACTTTTTATTTTGAAATAAGATCTGGCTGAGTGATGACACTGCCCACAGTGGGTGCAAACCTTTGATCCCCTTGCCTCAGCCTTTCCCACTGCTGGGATCGCAGAGATGTATCTATCACCACAACTGACTACAAGTGGTTATACCAGCGAATCCTACAAGATGACAGCTAGATGCTGCATGCATATGAAATCAAGATGAACTGTGGCATCAGTGAATTTGTCAGAACAAATTCTGCTTATATTTTTTTCAACTGTTATAATGGGTTATATAACAAAGACCAGTGTAAAACATGAGTGACACTACCTTGCATTTGCACAAGAAACTCTGTCTTAATTCTACGTGCAGCTTCACTTTCATTTTCACTTCTTGAACCACACAGAGAGTCAATTTCATCAATGAAGATAATGGAAGGTTTATTCTCCCTGGCAAGCTGAAATAAGTTCTTAACAAGCCTAAAAAGAAATAAGTTTTCAGTCTCTAAAAAATAGTAAAACATTAAAAGCAATATAGATCAAAAGCCTAATGATGTTTCAGATACAAAGAATAAGAATGTTATAGTTAGAAAACTCACTTTATAATTTATAAGGTTTTAAAATATGTAAATAAAGTCACAATATAAAAAGATCTGTCATATAGGATTAGTTATATATTTTTCATAAAATGTCAAATTAAAAATTGATCTGATAAAGAAATAAAAACATGTCACTCTTCTAAACATTCAGTAATAAATCTGTAACTTTCACCCTGATACAGTGGCTTCTACCATGCATAGAAGAAACAAACAGAACAAAAAGATTTACTACTTACTTTTCACTTTCACCCAGCCACTTAGAAACAAGGTCAGAGGAAGATACTGAAAAAAATGTGGAGTTGTTTGCTTCTGTTGCTACAGCTTTGGCTAAATATGATTTTCCTGTTCCTGGTGGTCCAAACAATAGGATTCCTCTCCACGGTGTCCTCTTGCCTAAAATGTGCATTAGAAAAGTAAGATGAGAATTTTAACTGTTTTTCAGTTACCGTAGATATTATCCATAGTAAAGAATACTCCAAGAAGGTTTTTACTGTAAAGCTATCACAGTAAGAATAAAAAAGATATTTTAAAGCCACCTGGGCATCATGACGCAAGCTATTATTTTGGCATGAGGAGGCTGAAGCAAGAAGATTCAAGGTTTGAGCCCAATACAGGCAATTTAGTGACTTGGCAAGACCCTGTCTCAAAAAAAAAAAAAAAAAAAGAAAAAAAAATATACATATATATATGGCTGGAGATGTAGCTTAGTACACAGACCCAAGTTCAATCTCTAGTACCATAAATAAAGAAACCAATTTAAGGTAAGTACGTCTTAAATGAATTTTGTTACTTCTAGAGATACTTTTTTTGGCAAAAGTATATTTATTTAAATACAAGCCTAACAGCAAGTTTTTTTGCTTGTTCACTCATGCATTCAACCAGTACGTATCATGGGATGTGCAGAACAGAAAAACAAAAGGATCTCTGCCCTGTACAAGCTTATAGTCTAATGAAGGAAAAAAAGTTCAGTTAAAAGTTTACTTTCTAATGATCTACTGTGTGCATGGCTCAACACCACTCTATCCATAACAGAAGCACAGTGCCTTTTGGGTGACTTGTGGACGTGCACTTTATTTTGGATGTGCAGTCTAGGTGCTGTGTAAAGTGTTGCTGAATTCTTAATTTACAGCGAAGCAACAAGTTAGTGTTAGCAATCTCAATGGGCAGTTTGGGAACATTATAGGAACTCGTATCTTAAATCCCAGCTTTTCTAAAGTATCACAAAGCAGTAAAGGAACTTTTTGTGCCTCCATTTTGCTAATGAGAAATTATAATGCTATCTAAAATAAACCAGAGTGTGTTATAGCTGGTAAATATATTAAAAATATCTGGGAACAACCTGTTGATGGGCATAGTATCTGCAACAGAATGACACAGATGACTGGCAGGAGAACTAAATATTGTTATTTCTGTTATGAAAGAGCCAACTTCTAGATGAATTCTGTTTTTCTCCTAAATGTGCACAATTATAATTCTATGTTCCCCTGCTGATAACACATACAATACTGCTATCATATGAATACTTCTGGGTGGTATTCTTTTTATTTAAATAATTATCTTTTTAAATGTATGTTAGAAAAACACCTATTTATAACAGACAGAAATCAGTATTTAAAATAATATTATTAGGTAAAAATCAATGATTTGAAATTCAAATAAAGGAAAAATAATCTGTTACAAATCAAGAAAGAGATGACCTCTAGGGAGGGCAGACAAAAGGATGATTACTTGGCTACTAGTAGTACAACCTTAATAGAACCCTTCTTTATCTGGGGGATGAATACACAGACAAACTGATAAGGAAGCTGAATATATACATTTCCCACATAATGAAGTATTTATGATTTACTTCAATAATTTTTTTTGTAAAAAGTGAGCTATTTTAAGGAAGATATTTTAAAAACAGATTACATATATATATATATAAAACTTCATGGAAAGGTTACATAAATGATTCATGTTTGGAAAACATCGATAACATGGTATGAGCTTAGTCACATATTTGTACCTTTATAGGACTACATTAACTTTTAAACCAATCCACATCCGGAAGGTAGATGTCACACTTGAAGCTCGGTAGACCAACACATAACCTACTAGTTCTTTGCTTTCCTCCTGATGGCTGTGTGACACACTGTCTGGATCTGATTTGATGTCAAGGTCACAGATTTGCTCCTTAAATAAACAAGTTTTTTCGAAAGGACAAACTTGTGCTTAACTATTACGATCATGGGCGTAGCCAAATCATGGACACAGGCCATCAGTCACAAAAAGGACAATGTGAAGGAATGATTCAGCACAGACAAATCACTTACTGCTGGAACTAGAACTTGAGCTATCTCCAGATGGTGGGTCAGCAACATTCTCTTCACAGTGATAATCAGCTGTCCCTTTGCCCCTAGAGGATATGCACTTCATCTGAAGCCGTTAAATAATTCTTACTCCTCTTTTTAAGAAATGGAAATATTCTTAAAAAACTAATACACGTCTATTGCAAAAATTCAGATTAAAGTCAAAAGAAAAATTAAAATCATTTTAATCTTATTCCCTAGGCACACATTAACATTTTAAAGTCAGTCCATCTATACTTATTCTCAGTACACACATTTATTCAACATAGACTCAGCCTGTGTTTTATAACCTGGTTTTTGATATTTATGAAAGATGTGGACATTCTTCAATAGATGAAACATGAAGAATGAATTTCATTAGTATGAATATACACTATATTTTAATGACTACATGGCACACTCCTAACACTTCATGTCAGCGATTTACCTTACACCCTATAGGCTGACATGTAGGTTGTTTTGCAACATATATATTCCATGTTTAGATATGTACAGTAATAAAATATCTGTGTAAAGATGTGTTACTTCCTCTAACTGGCAGAATTCATGATATGGTGACAAGAACTCTTATTTTAACTTAGTCATGTGTTTTAAAGGAATCATGAAATAAAATTACGTAAGTTATCTCACCTGTAAAAAGATGGGGAAATTTAATGGGCAAAATCACAGCCTCCTTAAGTGCTTCTTTGGCTCCTTCGAGACCAGCAACATCACTCCATTTTACGTTTGGTCGCTCAATAACAATGGCACCTACAAAAAATTACGTCATCTTTAAATTATGGAAGTCTATTTTCTCAAGTTTATAAAACAACATGAAATACTAATGGTAGAACAAATGCCTTATAAAGTTGTCTGGAAAAGTTATATGCATTAAATCTTCCTGAAATAGTGCGATGAAGTAGTAGTGTTGGGAACAGTCAGTAGGAGACAAGTTCCTACCTCCTCATTTGTGAGGTGAAAAATACTATCACTTGCCCAAACTACTTAGGTTAGTACAAGGATCAAATAGCATAATGGTGGAGTGTTTGGAGTAGCACCAATTATATAAAGAGGTTATAATAGTTGAAAGACTGATTTAGAGTCAAGCATACTTCATTTAATGGAGGTTGATTTACTATTCTCCTGTGAACCAAAAGCAAAGGTGATCTGATGCTTTCTTCAATGGAGAGAGAAAATGTGCTTAACTTGAATGGAAGATAAATGGAACAAAGGAAAAGATGAGGAAAAGATACAGAAATGGAAGAAAAAGTAAATGACACGTAATAGAATGTATATCCCTTTAGATCTCCAACACTTTCTTGAGGTTTTCTACTTGGCTTCCTAATACTAAATATACCTTTATTTATAATTTTTCAAGTTAGTGAAATTAAAGCTTTTCCAATTTTATAGTACACAGAAATTGCTCAATTTAAACTATTAAGCAGCTTGTTCTAACATGATATGTATGTAGTTGTTTTAACAATAGAATGCCATTACACAATTTACTAGTTATGAAATCAGTTTAAGAAGTCATTTTTTTCTAGTTAGGAAATGTCTCCTATCATTCTAATTATGTTCAGTGGCTTACTTCTTCCTAAATTATGAAAAAAGTTATTAGACTAGAATTAAATGAAATCAAAAACATTTCTACACCCTAAACGTTCAGATTAGTAGAAAAAGGGCAATTCAGTTTTTCTTTTTTATGTTCCATGAAGATTAGTAATTCTGTTGGGTGTAATGGTAACTTATCTATAATCCCAGTTATTCCAGTGGTTGAAGCAGGAGCATTACAAGCTAGTAGTCATCTTGGATAACTTAGACTTTTGTCTCAAAGAAAAACACTTTTTAAAAGGCTGGGATACAGTTCAGGGCAAAGGCCGTGTGTTCAATTATCAATACTATAAACCAATCCAAACCAAGCAAGGCAAAGCAAGCCAAACCAAACCAAACCAATGAACCAAGATTAATAATCCCACAGGAAAAAATCTCTATATACGATAGAATTTCATGTCACTTAACATCAAGATTTTTATGCAATTAAAAACATATGCAAAATTAATTTTCATGTGTGACTAATACTTTTCTCCTTAAAGTTTAAAGGTGACTTTTGAATGTTTACTAATGAAAGATTAAATACTTAATGGGCTGTAAAACTAAAAAGGTGAGGGGAGGGTAAGAAACAATTTGAATAAGTAAATATATTTCTAATTAAATGCATTTTCTGGTCTTTGATTTTACTATGACCAGTGGGGACTATGATCAGTATGGGGACTCTATATTAAAACACCTTCAAAAGTCACAGAACTATACATTGATTTAATAGAAAACTCAAATCACACGCTCATTTTTAATTCTAATAATCATGGTATAGCTAATGCCATAATCTAAAAGTTTTTAAATATATCAGGACAAATAACCTTCAAGGGTATTATGTTATGAAATCCATTAGCAAATGATTAAAGATGGAAAAATCCTGATGAAAACCTAGAGTGTTTCATATTCTACTTGTTCCTAAAATCTCAAATAAATTTCATTTAAATGCCTTAAGCATTTAACAAAAAAAGTCTCAGCTTGTAACTAAGAATTTATAGAAATCTCTAATATAAATCAGCTGAATCTCCCCCCCCCCTTGGTAGGTACAGGGTCTCACTACACAGCTTGGACTCATAGTGACCCTCCTGTCTCAGCCTCCCTAACACTGGGATTACAGGTGTGAGCCACCACGCCTGTGTTTTGGGACAGATGCCTGGCATGCGGCCAGGGGGCGGGAGGGATCAAATTTGGGACCTTGCGCTTGCCAGGCAGGTACTCAGACTGCTGAGTTATCTTCCCAGCCCTGAATCTTTTTAAAGACTGAAGATACAATCCAATTTTCATGTGGGGAGTAGGGTTGGGAGAGGGGAAACCAAACCAAAAGTGGTAGACAAACAGTAAGAAAGTTTCTTGCCTACTAGAATGAAGCCTTGTGTCACATGCCACTTGTCACAAAAACTCAATGTGTTGTAGACAATTTTCTGCTTCTAGCAGTGAGGGCACAGCAGTGGAAACTCAGAAGTTTCCGCTGTGGAACTGTATCTTTCACTTTATCCTCATTACTTTAACTGTTTCCAAGGTACTATTTTTGGAGTGTTTGCCTATACATCCTACCTGAGCGGGTAAAACAGAAATATTACCAAAATAAAGAGACTAGTGTAGCAAGGTTAAAGGTTTGGTTAAACTAGGTATACTTACTCTTCAGTAGCTAAGTCTACATAATGGAAATAATTTCTATTCAGCATTCTATTTGGTTAGATTAAAAAACCTATTAGCTAACATCAAAAACAAGCACATCTCATCAAAGAAGTCAGCAATTAATAGATGCTGACTTTTTATACACAAAGAGCACCATTTATCAAATACCTACACATTTTCATATCCAATATTAATAAACTGTCATACTATCATTGATCTTCCTTCCTGAAAGGACATTATAAATTTCCATTTTAGAGATGGGGACTCATACTCTTAGAGGTTAGGGGAACTTGCCCAAGGTTAGAAAGCGTTTATGCGACAGATCTTGGAGTGAAATCCGGAACTAAGGCTATAGCCTCTTTGTCATGCCATTATATATGCTTTTACAGAGAAATAAAAACAAGAGAGCTGAAAGATGTAAAAGAGGTACGTGTAAATGGGAAGGAACACTGAAAAGGTGAATGAGAAAGAGCAGATAAATAACATGAAATAAACCATCAACGGATCTGCCATAGCAATGGTAATAAAAGTAATCTCTAAGTCATTCTGCTTCTCTGACAGTAAATTTTAATACTGTCAGATTTTGTACTATGCTAATAGTATAAATGCTACCTGCTTTTGAGGGGGTAAATAAACTGAAAGACTTTTTAAAGGTAGAAATAACAACATAATTACTCCATGAAAAAACAAAACTATTAAAAACCCTGAAGAGGCAAAGCCTTTGAAAATGCTCTAAACAAAGCCAGCATGTGATCACTTGCAACCACAGTTGATTCTAGAATTTCACTTACATACAGGAAGAAACAATTCAAGCCAGACAATTCATTATGAGTCTTTTCAACAAGGTAGTAAATTTAAAAATGAAATCTAAAACAACCTTGAAGTTGATTCTGTAGTTTCTTTTTTTCAGGATCATCAGATTCTCCTTCCCCATCACTGTCATTCCTAATAAAAAGAATTTAATATATTTAATAGCATTCAAATAATGCTATCAAATAATGCAAAAATGAAGGAATGCTAACCTGATGTATTTGTCATTTAAGTGGAAAAATAAAACATTCACATTAAAAGTTACACTTATTTAATTAAAACTTTAAATAAGAAGCAGACGTATCAACAGAGAATCGTGTATAAGGAAGGGACAAAAGATCAGGAAAAAGAACTACCTTCCAATTCCTCTGATACACTCTACGTATGTACGAATTTATAAAGGCATGCTTCCACATTGTTCCATGAATGATTTAAGATGAATTACAGGACAGTTATCAAAACAAAGCACCAAGGTCCAAAATATGAGAGCACAGCAGGTTTTACGCCACAATGGGAATGCGAAGGTCTTCAGGGTTGGTAGAATTGTGGATGACGTAAGAGGACAGTGAAAGCACTTCATATGACCCTTGCGCTAACCTTCTAGTGTACTTTCTGTACTATAACAGCTTTACTATTTTGTTTCTTTTGTATTTGGTGGAGGGTCTCACTAAGCAGCTCGGACTTTGAGTGATCCTCCTGTTTTCAGTCTCCCCAGCGCTAGGATTACAGGCACGCGCTACCACGCCTGGTCTTGGTGGCTGGCTCAGCATGCCAGAGGGTGGGCTGGCACAGCATGTGGTGCTGGGGATTCAACCCAGGGCCTTGTGCTTACTTAAGCAGGTGCTCAGTCCACTGAGCTATCTCGCAGACCCTTAACAGCTTTATTATTTAAACAAACAAACCACAAACCCTCCTACCCTTTGTAGGCCTCCCTTCCAGTTTCCTAAGTGCAGTTTCTCTGAGGTGGGAGTGGTTTGCAGAGAGCAGATCTTCAGGTGAAAGCACTGTTTGGGTGAGGGAGCTGTGACTGAAGTCATACTGCGTGCTCCCAGGACTGAGGAGGGGAACTGCTCAGAGGGAGTGGTAGGAGCAGGATCCCTACGAGACACATCTCTATACTGGTATGAATGAATTCACAACTACATGCTCCCCTCCCCCCAACATACTGATTTTTCCCCTAGTTATGGAATTTAAGCTTTATTCTCTGGGCTTAAAATTCTATAAAGTAATAGACTATAATAAATTTCCTTTGTAACTGAGATTGTTATTCAGAACAGAAAAAAATACTGGCATCCATATGAAGGTAGCCATCACAGAAGTCATTACTGGAAGAGCCTCAACAGACGGGAAGACAGGATGTTTCTGCTGCTGAAGGTGTCTCAGTGAGAGTTGGGGGCCCTAGAACTTGAGGTCAACTGAATTCTTCCCATGTTGGAAGTTCTTGTCTTACACTAAATGTCATTTCATACAAGAAACCATAAAGTTGAAATTCAGTAATCTGTAAGATAGAAGTGTGATCTGAGTTTTGGTATGTCAATTTTGTAGCTGCAAAAGATAAATATTCTTAGGGTGTTAGAGAAACCCCCTAGCTCTCTGACTGCATCTTGAACAGATGATATAAAACCTAGGGCTGGGGATGTAACTCAGTGGTGTAAGTACCTGCCTGGCAAGCACAAGGTCCCAAATTTGAGTGCGAGTACTGCAAAAAACAAACAAAATAAAAATATAACATGGACCTTCTAATTGTTTTCAAACTCTATCATGTGGCAACTATTCAAACCTAATTCTTATATTCCTCATATCCTTCACAATGGTCTAAGGTAGCAGCTACAAATCACCTAAAGTATTAGCTAAAAGGTACTTCATTCCTCATGACCACAGGGAGTTAGTTATCTAAAGAACTTGTGCCATTTTCAGCATGAATTGCATGACATTCTTTAAAGCTCATGGGCACCTTATGACTTTTAAACCCCATGAGGACAGATTATTCCACCACGGAATCCTATTTTCTTATGAGTGTGTATCGTGGAACCATTCACGGCACCAGTTAGTAGAAAGGTCAAACAGGATCTGGTTAAAATGTTTCCCACGTTGAGCTCAGAACTGGGCATGTGTATTACACATCAAATAAAAGAATTCTGCATCTGCGATACATTACCCACAAAGGGAGATATTCCAAAAATGGGTCTTAACTTTTAAAAATTATGGTGTGTTGTTTTACAATGACAACATAAAGCATATGCAATGTAAGTCTACATCAAAAATTTTTGTATATCTACTTGCATTATTAAGAGTTATTTCTTGTCTATATAGTCTAAGAGTTAATTTGTGGATCATTCTTTTTTTTTCTAGAACTAGGGATTGAACTTGGGATCTTGCACTTGCCAGGCACACACTTAAGCTGCTGAGCTATCTCCCCAGTCCCTTTGTGGATCACTCTTATAATTTAAACCTTAATATTACACGATCATCAGTGGCTCAGTGGTACTCTTATGCATATTTCCCCTACTACTAGCAAGCAGTCCTGGAGGTTTCTTTTGGACATATTATCCCCTCACCTTGGTAAAGTAGGGATGCAAACTTTTGTCTGTGAAGGACCACAAAGTGAATATATTTCAGGTTTTGCAGCTATTCAGTCTGTACTGCAACCACTCAACTCTGCTTTAATAGGAGGCAATGAGCCTTAGATGACGAAATGTAAACAAACAAATGGGCGAACCTGTTCCCCAGCAAAACTTACTGTCCAAAACAGGCAGTATGTCTGCTTTGGCCCATTACCCATGATTTGTCAATGACTGGTTCAAACAAAATAAATTTGTTTCAAAAATGAAAAGTCAGAAGAATAAAACCTACTACTTTTAATACATACCCCTTCTCATCACCTGGACTTGACTGTCCCTCTTTCACTGGCTTCTGTGCAGTTTTCTCTTTTTTTTTCAAATATTCCTTTAGTTTTTCTGCTCTATCAAGATATTCTGTACACTTTACCCTGATACTTTGCTTGGCTTTATCACCCTGTGCTTCATCTGTTGAAGTGAATGAGAGAGATTTTTCAATTAGTATCTGGCAGAAAAAAGTTTAAGCTTAGATGTATTCTTTTAAACAGGCAAATTCTATTTTGCACAAGGAAAAACGATGATCTCTAGCTCATTGTAATCAGTGGTTATCAACTCTTCTTTATTCTTTTCCTTAGAGGCTTGGAGACCAACAGTGAATCTGAGTTACAAAACATCTCACAAGACAGCAGAGTACTTTAAGTTAATGCTATATAAAAGAAGACACTATTTAATATTTTATTTCATATTCTTCCCTTACATTTTGCTGACAGCTGAATGCTTTGTGTTGATATGAAACTAATCATGACAAACAACTTGGTAATAGAACAGGGATTATCAGAGATAGGGAAAGGACAGAAGCAGATAAAGGAAAGTTGTACAATAGAATATGTTGATATATCACATTTAATTCCTTTAATATATATAACTAAAGTGTATTAATCAAAAATTAAACATAAAAAGATAAACAGAAGTGGTATTAACCATTTCCATTAATATCTACCTAAACTTTATTTCAAAAAGTATACAGTGATGGAAAATGTCACAGGTGTGTACCACTAACATATAATTGTACTAAATAAAGGCCTTTATTAGGGTTATATTTAAAAGTAGTGCCTGCCACATGAATATGCAATATGTATTTGTAAAATAAATGCTTCCCAATCTTTTTAAAACAGGATCATTTTCAAACATATGCTTTGGACATGTATTTATCTTACATACTTTAGTACGTTATCGTTAAAATAAAAAGTTTCCACACACTATCTGACATTTTAAGATATCTGGAACTACAAACTAATAATCGTAACTGTCACATTCATTTACTACATTTGAGCACTTCAAAGGAGAAAGTTTGTTTTTCTAATGATGACTTAAAATCTGGTTTTGTATTTCAATCAATTTTCATAAATATTTTGTGCAATTCCATTGTCAAATAAAATGATTAAACCAATAAACTTATACATGTACAAAGTCAAAAAAATTTTTCATAAATAAAAAAATAGAATCTTGTAGCCTTTTTAAGTAAAAAAGTGAACTATAACCTTACATTTAATTACATGAAGAAAATACTGTACAGCATGTTGGTAGAGTTGCAGGGCTTCCTCATAATTCCCAGCTTTGTCTTCTTGTGCTGCTTTGCTAGCAAGATCTATTGCTTTCTGTTTAAGAAATGCAAAATATTTACATTAAAACCAAAATATAAACTTTAAATAATCAAACTGGAACTTTTTTGAGAGGGGAAATAGCACTTGGTATGAAACCCAGGTAAGTACTCTATCACTGAGCTACATCTGATGGCTAGAAATTTCTTTTTAAAAATAAAAGCAACTTTAAAACAAACCAGAACTGCAATTTGTTGTAAATTACTTTGTAAAATACAAATTAATTTACTATATAAATAAATGCTATCTGAATACAAGTTTATCTAGTACCACTCACTAAAATTCTCACAACTTTCACACAGCGAAAGGCAAATTTGAGCCAGTCGAGAGTAACTTGAGTGATGTGAAACTTCATATTAAAAACAGCATTGAGAGATTCTAAGAGACTAAATGCTGTTACACCTATAGCATATGACAATAACAGAAATGTATGGCGTAAAACCCCTTGAGAAACAATGGGCTATGAAATACCAAGAATTTGAAAAAAGCACAAAACTTTTAAACTGTGGTTTTACTTACCTAGCAAAGACATAAAACAGAGGTCTTTTAAATAACAAAACAAAATAACTGGTACATGATGAATAGGTAAATAACTGGCATGTTCTTTGCATGTTTCCCCTACTAGTAGTAAGCAATCCTGGAGGTTTTAAAGGATACTTATGTTAACAACTGAGAATGTGTTTATGATAGATTGCCCAGCTCCTCAACCCCCAATGCCTTTCAGCTGGAGACTGAAGCTAAGGACTTAAGCATGCTAAGCAAGCAGTCTATATAACCAGCCTGCTGCAACATTTCAGGTGTCACCAGCTATCTGAAACACAATGGCCCTTATCTTTAATAAGTATTCACTGATTTTTCACTTCCTTCTTTTTTCAAATCTAAATATCTGTAATAAACATGAACTACTTTTGTAATCTTTATTTTTTAAATACAGTAGAGCCTCACAAATATATCCATCTTGATTCCCAAAAATGATGCAAAAGCAAGTCAGTATCGAACAGGTTTTTTAAGGAAATGGTGTTGGAGCAACTGGCCATCCACAAGCAAAAAGGAAACCTCAATTTAATTTAAATCTATTTCCTAATAAGTAAAACCTAACCATACACTTAAACATAGAAAGCTATAAAACTTGAAAAAATCTTCAGGATCTAGGGCTTGGAAAAAGGGATCAAATTTGGCATCAAGCATAATGTATAAAATGAAAAAATAAACTCAACCTTATTAAACTTTTGTTCTGTAGGAGATCCGAATAAAAAATTGAAAAGACAAAGGGTTGGCCAGATAGCTCAGTGAACTAAAGCCCCTGGAGTGCCATGCCGGCCCTGCCCGCAGGGCACGCTGACAAGGCGACTGAGACTGGGCTTGGTGCCATGCACCTGTAATCTCAGTGCTTGGGAGGCTGAACACAGGAGAATCACTACGAGTCCAGTCTATGTAGTGAGACCCTGTAGACCCTGTACTAAATACATTTAAAAGAAAGAAAGAAAGAAAACAAAAGAAAAAACAGGTTACAGACTGGGAGAGCTACTTCAAAATACATCCAAAAATGAACTATAATACATAAATACATAAATCTACAATACATAATGAATTTTGAAAACCCAACAGAGTCCACATACAAAATGGACAAAAGATGTTAATGGATGTTACCAAATGAAATACACTTAAGATAATTGTCTCAAAGTGCATGTAAAGTAAACAGATACACAAGTTTAAATTGTGTGTGTGTGTGTGTGTGTGTGTGTGTGTCAGAACCGGGGATTGAACTCAGGCCTTGCACTTGCCAGGAAGCACTTATTCCACTGAGCCACCTCCCTGAACCCCACAAGCTTAAATATTGCATGGTTTCTCTTATATGAAAAATTAAAGTATAAATAATTTAAACAGCAAAATGACTGTAAGGCATTAGAGAAATGCATATTAAACCAGCGCTGAGACATCATAACACTTATATGACAATGGGTAATAAAAGTGTACAAATCAACACTTTTATCACAATAGCTTTTCTATATAACAATAACGTAGCTGAGAAACAAGCCAGAAAAACAATTCCATTAACAGCTTAAAAAAATGGAATCAAACTAATGAAAGAGGTAAAGAGACATGAACAGTGAAAACTATACAACACTAAGGAAAGAAATTAAAGACATTAGAACATGGAGACATCCCATATTCACGAATTGACAGAATATTTTATTTATTTATTTATTTATTTATTTATTGTATTTTAGGGAAGGCTCTACAGGGTGTTTAGGGTCTCATTACTAGATTGGACTCATAGTGATCCACCAGTTTACAGCCTCCCAAGAGCTGGAATTATAGGTGTGTGCCATCACGCCCCTATTTCAATTGCTATCTCAGCCTGCCCCAAGGGGCAGGGCGGCAGCCCAGGCCTGGGAAATTGAACCCCAGGCCCCTGCTCCTGCTTACAGGCACTTTAATCCACTAAGCTATTTGGCTGGCATAATAGAATATTTTTAAACTGGTCATTTAAAAAATATATATAAATTCAATGCAAACTCATCAAAATTCCAATGCCGTTCTTTATAAAATTTTTTTTAAAAAAATCCTAAAACACAAAAGATCTATAACACTAAAACTTTGGACAAAAAAAAAAAAAAAAAAAAAAAAATGGCTGGTATCACAGTTCTTAATTTCAAATTAGACTTAAAGCCACAGCAAAAAGACCAGCAAGGTACTGGTACAAAAATAGATACACAGACCAATAAAATAGAACAGAGGACACAGGAAAAAAATATAGTCATACGATTCTTGTCAAAGAAGCCAAAAACATACAGTGGAGAAAAGATGGCCTTTTAAACAAATGTTGTAGTAATTACCAACAGAGTGAAAAGACAAAACACAAATTTGGAAAAAATCTTAATAAGCATTCAGACAAAGGTTTGCTCTCTAGAATTTATAAAGAACTAAAAACACTAGGGCCCCAAAATTTAAAGACCCAATCCAGAAATGGGCATTGGAGAAGAACACACACTTGAGGAAAGAACATCATTTTGAGCCTGACCTGGACAATTCAGCAAATCAGCAAAACCCTGCCTCAAAATAAAAGTTAAAAAAAAAATCATTTAAACAATCCCAAAGCCAAACATATATAAAAATAATATATATGTACTAATTACACAAATATGTACTAATTAAAATATATTTTGAAGAATATATTTTGAGGTCTGCTTTATATATAAAATATTTTTTTAAATTAGTACATATTTGCAGTACATAATGATTACATTCCTCATAGGAAGCTGGTACATGAACATATCTTTTAATTTTTTTATGTATTTGGTACAGAATCCCACTACGCAGCTCAGACTCATAGTGATCCTGTTTTCAGCCTCCCCAGTGCTGGGATTACAGGCATGTACTACCATGCCCAGACTTGGTGGCAAACATGGCTGGTGTGGCATGGGTGTCAGGATTGAACCCTTAGTCCTTGTGCTCGCCTAAACAGACACTTAAGTCTGCTGTGCTATCTCGCCAGTCCTACATATAACGTATCTTAATTCTTTTTATGTCCTCTTCTCCTCCTTTTCCCCAAGAATACTAATTATGAAGCAGTTGCCTATGGATGGGATGAAATCTATAAATGGAAAAATTAGTCCTCTTGTTGGAAGGCCACACTTCTTTTGTTACAGCAGGAAGATAAATGGTATTTTAGAATAAAATGCAATAGTTACATACTTTACAGTACAGCTAGTCTACCTGCAAAGAAAACATTTTAAGTTTTATTAGCTGGATAGTATATAAAAAGTGGACTCACAATGTGGTCAATTGGTGCTTAGTTAAGACTTGTCTCATAAAATGCATCCCAAAGGCTCAGTGGCTAAGCCATGCAGCAGAAGAAATTCTTTTCTGACTATAACTTTTTTCTCAGATTGTTTTGCAATGCTGTGCCACTCACTTATCTAGCCACTCATTCATAACTCTTATTGTAGTAGTCAGGTACTGTATTATTCATCTACTTTAGTGTTCATCTGGCCTTAATATCTAGCTCCAAACTGTACCAATTACAGTACATCATTTAAACCAGCCTTTGACCATGAAAATGTCTGTGTTCGCAGTGCCCAAAATGGAAACTACTAGCCACATGTAGCTATGGTACTGGATGGCACATCAAAACATTCAAAAATTCGTTTTTCTCTGATGAATGCGTCATTTCATCCTTGTTAGGATTCTTCAATGGAAATGAAATTAACATGGCCTGTATAATTTGGCATAGCAAATTATTCTTTTGGAATATAAACTTTACTCTATTTCTACTACCTTATTTTAATATGTTTTCATACATTAAAATTACTAACTGGTCTTGTGGTCAGTGAGCCTGCTACCACACTTGCTATACCAGAGCACAAAAAGGATCCCCCCTGAAAATCATAAAATCCAAATGCCAGTGCATGAGCTGCATGGTCTTATATGATCTAGTTATATTTGGATCTCACTTCAAATCACTCCCAGTCCTCCTGCCATTCAGGCAGCCTGAGCACTACAGATCACTCCCATAGTCCTACTTCAACTGATAAGTCCTCAGACAGGTACTGTCTAATCTTATTTATCAAAGGCAGTGCTCCATCCTTGCTTTCTGATATACCCTTGCTCCAGAAGTCTCTAACCCTACTAATATCATTATATTTACACATTTCTTCACTTACTGGCCAGCTATTTTCCTAAGGTAAACTATGCAAGGACAGAACTTCACATGGAGCTCCATAGCCTCGAATGGTGCTGGCAGGTGATGGGCATACACTGCCAAACAACTGAAAAATCCTCTACTGCTCTTAAAATCCTTTTGGTTCCTGCATTTCTGCCATCTACACTGGCTATTGCCATTACACATAAGTAGATCACCTTCAAATGACTTATTTGACACCAAAACACCTTTCAGTACAGTTTCTGGTTCTCTACTTTTACAGCACAAATCACAACGGATTCCCCTCTTATCGTTTCACATAAGTGTAACTACTCCTATCAAGGCTCACTCT